CTAACGACTGACTCAAAGTCATTTCTAGGTTTGTTGATACAATTTTATAAACACTCGGGTATCTCGAAATCCTCTAAAGATCCTCCTACCGTACGTATGTTTACAAAATTACAATGGAATTAGTTCTGTTATAACGATTAATATGTATGTATGTATGTATGTATCTCCAAACACGTAAATAAATTATATACGTAATCCATGTGTGTATGCATTTATGTATGTAATGTAACAAACGTAACGTTAATCTATGTAATATTCTTTCAACAGATTTAAGAACGACATAAAATATTTCTCATTTTAAAACTTATGATTTATAATTGAAGTTTTAAATCGAAATAAAATGGCTTTTCTCTTTGTGTATGTGTGCGTGCGCGCGTTTCTCTCTCTCTCTCTCTCTCTCTCTCTCTGTGTGTGTGTGTTTTTGTGTATACACGGGCGTTCGTGGGTGTGTATATACTCGCCACCTTCGGATCGTATTTTACGGTGTCGCTGACGTTTCGTTACCGAAGAGAGAGAGGGAGAAAGAGAGAGAGAGAGAGAAAGAGAGAGAGAGAGAGAGTAGAAAATTATGGCACGGTAAAAGCCTCTAATAATAACGTAAACGTCGACTATCCGCATCGCGTGACGAATGTACGCTTCTCGTGCTACGGCAAAAGCTACGAATTAATCTCGTCTGAACGAACGAATTTATCGTGCTTAAAAATATTATAGAAAGTAAATAGAAAGTTTGTGCCCTTTTTCTTTCTAAATTGTGCCATTAATTGGATGTTTACATATTATACTAAATTATATGATTATATATACGTATACATATATATATATATAAATCTTTTTTTTTTGTAATTTTATTAAATTTATAATTATTAAATTTATATATATATATATATATATATATATTTTATTTTTTACTCTTATAACAAAGGAGAAAGAAAAAGAAACGCAAGGAGAAAAGAAAAGTATTGAAGAAGAGAAAAATAAAATAGGAAAAAACTTGATTCTAATTAATGACGTAATGTATATATGTATGTATATAAGATTTCGTTCGAGGCTTAAATGAGATTTAGAAAAGGTTGACGGTGATATGAAACGAAGAAACAGAAGAAAGAAATAACCTTGGCTAATCCGTAATTAAATTGCATAAAGGATGACATTTTTAATAATTTTCGAACGCAAAAAGGGATGATTTTTTTTCCGTTTTTTTTTTTTTTTTTTTTTCTTAAGGATATTCTTTTCATTTTCTTTTACATATTTCTCTTTTTCTTTCTTTCTTTCCATATTTGATGAGATTAGTAAGTTACAAAAAAAAAGAAAAAGAAAAGAGAAATATTAAAAATTCTTATATTTTTCTAAAGAAAAGAAGGGAATATATATATATATATATATATATATATATATATAAATATATATTAAATTCTTTTCCTAAGATTATACTCAGTTCTACTTTCAACATTTATAATGAGATATAATAAATTATCTAAACATTTTTAAAGATTCTTACGAGTGTAAGTTCCAACGAGAAGAAAAAAGAAAAAACAATAAGAAACTAAAAGAAATTAAATTGAATTTTTAAAGATCATTTCTTTTCTTACTTTTGATATTTAACGAGATCGATAGGTTGTCTAAACAATTTGAAAAATTCTTACATCCCTCTGATCAGAAGAAAAAAAGGAGAAATTAAAAAAAGAAATTAAGTTCTTTGCCCAACAAAGATTGCTTTCTCTTTCCTTTCTTCGAGATTTGATAAGTTAAAAAAGTTAGGATAAAAAAAGAAAGAAAAAAAGAGAAAAACATAAAAGGAAAGAAAAAAGAATGGAAATTGAAATTATACGTAGATATTCATTTACGAGTATACAGGAAAAACAAAAAAAAAAGAAAAAAAAAAAAAGAAAAGTAAAATTATGCGAAAAATGTGAAAAATATGAAAAACGTGACGTCTTGGGAGGGTCAATATTTTATCCTTCACTTTTTTTTTTCTTTTTTTTTTTTTATTTTCATTCAAAAGAGGTCTCTTGGGAAAAGAATAATAATTGTTATAAGACGTACATTTTCTCGCTTCGTACGATGAAAGAAGTTAAAAAGAGAAAAAGAGAAGAGAGAGAGAGAGAGAGAGAGAGAGTGAGAGAGACAGACAGAGAGAGAAAAATTAAATTAGAAACGAGAAGAAGAGACACGAACCTTTCTCTTTGCTTGTTCTCTTTCTCTCTCTGTCTCTCTTTGAATTTGTCTAATATTTTTTTTTTCTTCTTCATTCTTCATTCGAGAGCGATGGTTCTTCTCACGCGAGAAAATCTTTTAAGAAACATTAACAATGCTTTCAATTTCAACATTTTCATTCTTTCTCTTTTTTTTATTTTCTTTTATTATTTTTATTTATTTATTTTTTTCTTTAATTCCTGTTTGTACTATTCATTCTATCTATTAGAGTTTTTAATAATGAAGAAATCGTTAATCGGTTTCGTTATATTTTCGATCGGAATTAAGTAAGAAAATATTTATATGGGGTTTTTCTTCTTTTTATTTTGGCTTTTAGTTATATTGTTATTTATTTGTTTTAAAATTAATTATCTATTATTTATTTTATTTTATTTTATTTTATTTAACAAGCGTCTAACAAATAAACCAAAAAAAGGATCCATGTGTTTCGTTAATTTTTTTATAACATTGTTACTAATCGTATGACAGGTTTGCGAAACGATCACAACAATCCTAATGAAAATATTTATTTTAACGAGGTATGTATATACGTTTGATGACGTGATTAATTCAAAGGCCATCATTATGTTGCGTCATATTCCTACAAAGGTAAATTCTCATTTGTTTATAATAACGAACGTTATGATGACGATTATTATTCTTATTAGAAATAGACGTTCGCTTGAGGAACCATTTGTCCCATTATTTTTATTTTTGTTATAGATATTTAAATAAAAATAATAAAATAAATATATTTTGTCACAATTGTTAAATATATTTTTTAAATATATATATATATATATATATATATATATGTATGTATATAATAAATTTTAATGCGGAATTAATTGAAAAATTTTATTATTATTATTATAATTTTTTTTTCTTTTTTCGAGTCAAATTGAATGAACGATCGAATATTACGTCTATCCAAAAGTCTACTTCTATTATTATTTAAATGAATTAATTTCATTTCAATCTAATTATATCTTTGTCCTAAGATCATCAATTAAAAGATTAGAAAATAATAATTATAATGTTACAATTAATTCAATTTAATTTTCGTTTTAAAAATACTTCATCAAATCGAAATCTTATTAAAAAAAAAACAATTATTTTCATGACAGTTGTAATATTTATTTTTTATTCAAAAAAAATTTCTATTTAAAATTACTACATGAGTATAATTTTTCATTAGGCTTCAAAAATTTTAATTCATTTTTCGCTAGTTCTTTTTCTTTTCTTTTTTTTTTTTTCATTAAATTTACAATTAGTTATACATGAAACATGGATGGATGAAGATACTAGTAGAAAAGGTTAAAAACAAACTCTTGATATTTTGAAAGCTGACAGAGTTGATCGTCAAGTATCCCTAACTAGAGGAGATTCATGCGAGTCATAAAACGACCGTTTCGAATTTTCCGCCACCGCGAATATCGTGCAAAAGAGTGCTTCATACTCGTAGAAGTGTCGAGAGAGAGAGAGAGAGAGAGAGAGAAAGAGCTATACAATACGAGGACTCATTGAATTTCTCGTTCAAGTTTCTGTTAAACAGCACGGCGAAGTTTATTGGAATTTCGAAATGTCGATAAAAAAGAAAAAGGAAAATAATAGAAAGAAAAAAGAAAAAAGAATTCATTTATTATTAATACGAAAAAATGTTCCAATTAATTAATATATTTATTAAGTATCTGTGAGGTAACATTTAAAAAAAAAAAAAGAAAGCTCGATTAAAATTTAAAAGAAGTAACGTTAAGAAAAATTTGTTTTCTTTTTTTTATCCAATTTGTAAATAATTTTTATTGTTACTATTATTATTATTATTTTTTTTTCCTCGCTGTCGTTTAACGCAACATTTAATAAAAAATTAAATATTAAGTCTACGAAAAAGTTCGTTTCCATTATTATTAACAAAAATTTGTTAATAAAATTTTTTAATTAATAAAAATTTGTTAACGATTACTTGTAATTAGGAGAAAAATTTATTATTAAAAAAAGTTTATAATTAATAGAAATTATTATGCTGGTATACGAATCGTTATCAATTGTCGTAAATGTGTCAATTAGAAATTAATAAAAGCAGGGAACATTTTTACTATGTTAAAACTATCCGAGTTATTCTCATTCGAACTTATTTTTAATATTTTATAATTTATCCAATTATTCTTCTTCTTTTGAAAAATTTATTTAACGAGAGAAACTAATTTAAAGAATTTCAAGTATTTTCGTAAATTTTTTGATGTTAGTTTTGAAAATAAACTTTGTGAAATACTTTGCGAAAAAAATTGTTTAATTTTTTACGACCATGATGAAGGGAGTGAATGGTGGGTGGTGGGTGGGTGGTGAAGTGTTACGCAGACGCGTAGAAATATCATAGAAATGTTACAATTAATTTTAACGGAAATCTCCAATTTAATATCATTATTAAAGATATAATCGAATAAACAAAAAAAATAAATATTAATTAGACCCCTTTTATTTATAAATATCCCAATATCTTTATCAACATTTTAATTAGACCACTATTAAAAAGATGAGAAATTTTTTTTATCTTTTTCGAATAAACGAAAAAAAACTTATTCAAACTAATATCACAAATCAAACAAATTGATTATATATAAAAATTCAATGCGCGAATCAATGAAATATCTCATATTACATTGAAAGAAAAAGAAAAGAAAATAATTCATATTCGTCCACAAATTTACATTAGAGTTCGCTTTTAAAATAGATATGGAAAAATAAGTAAATAAATAAATGAATAATTACAAAAATAAATAAATAAAAAATAAAAAAAAAAAAAAAAT